CAACATCACTTCTAATTGCAGGGCTGATAGCTCCACCATCCGGTACATACCCCGCTTTCTCCCCCATGGAAGAACTTGAAACCCCCTGAAAAGGTGGGTAGATGGCTAACGACGATGACGAGGAAGATGACGAAGGTGATGGGATGGAAGTGATGAGTTGCTGCATGTCGGGGGTTCTCTTGACGTAGGAAGCATCGGACCTGCGTCGTCGATCCTGACCCATCGATATCATAGAGGAATCATGGGCAAACCTCTCCCCATTCTGATTAGAGCGACGTCCTCTGCAAAGAAAAATCGCAAGCGCCAGCAAGAAAATGACCAAGCCGACGAGAAATGATATGAGAAGAGGCACGAACAGCGGAGATTCTTGCGTTGAGGCGGAAGAGGATGACGTGATTGCAGTGATTGCAGTCGGTGAGGGGAAGAGTGTTGAGCTGATGCCCAAGTCTGATTCAAAGATGAGTATGGTGTCCACAACCATGGTTGGAGATGACAATGGAAGGGATGAAGAGAGAGGTTGAAGCCCGCTTGGTGGTAAAAGTTCATTATTTGTTGCATTCGCAGGAGATATGGTGCTCACTGGGCCGGGTAGCGCCGGATTCATTGGATTGATCTCCGTTGGCTGACTTGGGGATGATGCTGGTGGCCCACCAGGACCTTGAGGACGCGGAGGTTGGGACGGGTTTGGAAAAGACGGGAGAGACAGTGGAGGAGGAGCTTGCGGTGATGGTGGAGATGGTGCGGGTGAAGGAAGTGATTGCGGCAATGGGGCTACAGTGGGAAGGGGATCAGCTGGGACTGGAGGGCCTGGTGTAAGAGTGTCAAAGGCCACAGCTTCATGATACTCGTAGAACGCACAGCTGCCTAGACTCCTCCACCCGCACATCCAATTCGGCCTTCCCGGACACGCCCTGCATGATCCTTATAGTGTTGAAAAGATTGAACGGTCAAGCTTTCGCTTTTCTTTGAACGCAATATGCCAGCAAACGTCACAACTGCAAACGCACCTCCATTGTCACCACCCACACCCGATCCAACCCTGCCAGCATCAGAACACATGCACACTCTCGAAGGAACAGGGGCCGCAGAAAGGTCATCAACAAAGACGCAAGAGAACTCGAGATTGAACAGCCCGCCATCATGCTCTCTGCACATCCGCCCACAATCCGCGGGGGACGGGACGAAACTCAAGCTTGGGAAATTGGCGATGACAACGGCGGTTGACCTGCATTGCGCGGGCATGACGGGCAGCAGCGATGAATGGTCGAGGATGAGACGATTGCAGGTGGAGAGGGAGGGAAGCACAGCATGTTGAGCAGCAGCGCAGCTTACCGCAAAGGGGCTTTGACGCGGGGTTGACGCGCCAATTTCCTTCCTGTTTGGTGGGTGCGACCATGATGCTTTGACTCTGCAAGCCTCAAGCGATGGATGAAGGCGTGGCTGCGTATGAGCGTTCATGCCCTGGCAGTTAATGCTAGGAGTGCGTAATTGGAGTCCACGGGGACATGTAATGTGATTGGTGACGGGGAGTGGATGGACTCTCTGATCACCTCTTTTGCTGGTGATCATAACGCCTTTCTGTTGCCAGTACATGGACAGATCTTGCTGTTGATCGCGCAAAGGCTGCTGATGCGCTGACGGTATGTTGTTTGTTTTTTTTTTAGCTTAACGTCATTGTTTGATCATTACACTGTGCAATTTCAAACAAACTTGGTCTCATTACCTTGACATCAGGAGTATCGTTTATGGCAAACTAACTCAAGGCTCGTGAGCGCAGAAATAGTTTACTGAGTTGAGTTCTTCTGGATGTGACGGCATGATATGAATAGATCTATCTTAAACAAGATATTGGACCTTACGATTATGGCTCCATGAATATGAGGTGAAAAGATCTTTGCTTCTAAATCCTGTGTAAGTGGGCTGATCCTGTCACAAAACATATCGGGAGCCTCGGACGAACCAAAAACTATGCATCACCAGTAGTGATAGCCAGCCATATCTCCAAGCAGTAAACGCGGCACACACCTCACCCCTCATCACTCCCCCAAATCCACTGAAGATGGCTTCAACCTTGCTTGCCGCGTCGTGTCAGGGGCCAGCACAATTTGCCAAAGACCATCCCTGTTTTTGGGCACAAAGTGACAAGCACCCTTGACCCGCTCTCCTCCTGCACGGCTGACAGGCACAGGGCAGGGTGACAGGGACCATAGTCAGACAGGGACGAGCCCGTCGCATTGCGCACAGAAAGGGGCGACGCTCGAAATGGGACTCAATCACGTCGTCATCAGTGGCACGAGGAAGGCAGCGACTGATAAGCGATAGGCCCTTCCCCCGACACCTCAACGAGCTGGCGAAATCTGGTGAATAAAAAGGATCCTACACTTGCGTGCCATTCTCTTATCCCAACCACCAGCACATCCAGCAACTCTCAGCATCAACAATAACAAAACATGCGCTCCTTTACCACCCTCTTCCTCGTCGCGCTTACCTCCGCAACCGCAGTCACCGCCGGCCCCTCCAGCCCCCCGCCTCTCGAGGGCCGCTGCGTCTATGCCCCGGCTCCTATCACTCCCATCACCCGTACCCCAGCCCGCTCCATCATGTCCTGCAAGTCCCTCTGCACCGTGAAGACTCCCTCCGTGGCTGCATACAGCGTGATCGAGAGCCAGGAGAGACCAGGAACGGGTCTTTGCTACTGCTTTGACGGCCCCACAGCCAACGCTGGCGAGCCTAGCTTTGACTGCCCCACCTGCTTTACGGCGCAGGATGGGATCTCCCTTTGCGGAAGTGACCGTGGGGAGGGGAACGTTTCGGTTTGGTTGTACCCTGCCACTGCTGGGAAGGCTTAAGTCGACTTCTTTCCGACTTCTCTTCTCGCTACATCCCATATCTCCCTTGAAGGATTGGTTCACGGCTGGGTTACCGGCCCCATCCGGCTCGGGTTTCAAGTCCTTTCATGGTGATCGCAATAGCGTTTGCTGGCAAGACGCTGGGACGGGATTCTATCTGGAAAACCATGCACCAAGATCCCTTTAATCAACCGGAACGGCTTTTGTTAACTGCTTTCTTTTTGTTACCTCATACTTTACTTAGACCTAATAATTAAAAAAGATACCTAATAATTAAAAAAGATACGCTCTACGGCTGCAATGCCAAACCTCTCAAAAGTTGACACAATCTTGTCTGTCCATTCCCTTTCCACCTGAAAATCCTCTGATAAAGGGCCATCACCACCTAAACATAAAACAGCCTGCACTAATTGTCGTTTTTCAATTTTTCAAGTGTTGGCCATGCACACCTTGTTGACCCATCACTATGGCCATCAAGCGATGCGGCGTCGGTGCTCCGTTGGCGGCCCTTGCTTCTTCCTCACTTCATCCCACCTCCTGCGCTGCATTACCCCAAGGCCATCGACAACGGTCGTCGCCCTCCAAAGCCTCCGTCTCAAATCAACCTCCTCAAAACGCTCCCCGACCCTCATCTCCAGCTCATCATCAAAGCCCACCGCCAAAACCCCCTCCGCGGCAGGTTCCGATTCGCTCTACTTTCAAAGCCTGGTGTCCGAAACTTCTGCTGAAGATGTGTCGACAAGAGCGATTCCTTTGGCTCCGGCTGCAAGACGGACGTTGGTGTACGAGGGACAGTTGGCAGGGACTCTTGTGGTGGCGAGAACGGTTGCAAGAGTGTTTGCATTGGGGCAAATGGCGCTTTTACCATACTGTTTGAATGTGATGATCGCGCCGGTGGTCAGGGTAGTGGGGTTGTGTGAGTGGCATTTGAACTTTTGTTTTCTCTTATTTGGTTCCTCGACTTGACCTTTCAACTCCCTTACAAGTCGCTGTATCTATGTCAATCCCTCTCCTCGCAACCTATGTCGTCTCACGCATGTACATAACTCGTATTTGGACTCAAGAGGACTCCTCCGCTCGTCCACCTAAACAGCATTCCAAACATTCCGACCTTGACCCCATCGCCGACGCAACTCTCGTCTTTGAGACAAAGACGAACCTGACAGGAACTTCAAAGCTTCGTGTGGTGAAAGTGAGTGATATCAGGCCCTCGTCTGGGTTCTTTTCGACGTGGGAGATTGCGAAGCCGGGGATTGGTTGGTTGAGGGAGAGGTTGGAGATGGGGTATTTAGTGGATACCACGGCGTTGCGGAATGACCCTATCATGAAAAGGGTTGTGAAGGTTGTGGAATCCAATGCGCCAAAGAACGAGGACGAGGATTGAGTCCATCTTTAACGTTTACTCTGGAGAGCCGACTCAACATACACCCTCCCCTTACATGTATACCCATACATGATCCACATTCCCCTTCACTTATTCGCCAATTATCAAGGTCCAATGCGCACCTTTTTATCCAGCTAGACTTTCTGGTATCCTAGACATTATGAAACTAGTTACTCTATTCATCAATTATTTAAATTGCAATTCCTCCAAACTTCCTCTTCCTTAAAAAATACAGTTGCTCTCCTCCACATTCTATTTTCTCCAACTTATCCTTTTGTGGCCGTTGAAAAAAACCATGGATTAAACGTTGGTTTCTTGATGTGGAGATACTCAAACCCGACACAAACGATGGCAACATTAGCAAAGAAACAAGAACACGTTCTATCAACGACGCGAAAGTGGAAGGTTTAGGCTAGTTTGAGAGCCAAGTGAGCTGAAGATATAGATTTTCCTACTTTATTTGAATTTGAGACCACATATAATGGATGTGCAGAAGCTGGACACACATTTCTTACCCATACTCCAACTTTTTTTTTTCCTTTGTAAGTTCTTACCTACAACTGGATACAATCGACGTTAGAACGCTATATTTTCTTTATTCTTTCGCACTTATTCCGCAGTTTATTGATAGCAGACAAGTCATAAATATATAAGGACTGAACATGGGAAGTTCCTCATTCGGACATGAGCTACAACATATCCAGATGGATCAAATAAACAAACCAGAATGGGAATTTATTATCCTTTTCCTTTCATGAAGCATCTGTGCCCGTGTAGCTCAGTGGTAGAGCGTTCCCCTCCTATGCGTCGTAACGCAAAGTGAGGGAAAGGTCTAGGGTTCAATCCCCTGCTCGGGTATATATTTTTGAATCTCTAACCTTTTTTACCGAGTGTTATATCTCTTTTCTTGCCCTATTCTTTTCTCCAACTGGTGTTGGGTCTGCCATATTCAATTATATTCAAATATCCTATGAAAGCCGCTTACCCTCACCTAAAATGATCGCGCCGTCTTCCTCTTCGACTACCATACTGCGGGCGGTCAGATCCAACAGAAGTCGGGTTTTACCTTCATAAGACTGAAACTTTAGGCACTTCGGACCCGGACTGACCGCACACTCTTCGAAAGGTAGCAGGTACCCCTTGATGTCGTGGTGCAAACATCTAGCTTTCTGACTGCCCTGCGTGTCCAGCTAGCTTATCCCACACTCATGTTCATGGGTGCAATATCATCTCCACCACTCCCCCTTCCCCTTGTTCCTCATAAAGTTAAAGGATACTCGGATAATTATTAGAGTTTTTTAATAAATTCTAGCTCTTTTTGTTGTGAAATGGAGATCTTCATTGGAATATAGGAAATAGATTCACATGAATATTCCTGTAACACCAACTGAAATTA